CATTGGTGCAACGAGTGCCATCATCACGAACAACTTTGTGGGGTGGCAAAATGGCAAATGATAGAAGAGTTCCTGCTGACATGAAACACATGAAGCCAATATAGGTGGCATCATTTACAGAAGCTGCCTCGTGTCTGTGGTAATTTAGAATAAAAGGAATAAGTCCACCAATAACTCCACCCATGTTGAGATTACTTGAGAATGCTCCAAAATAGAGAGATATAAGTGCCCTTTCGATTTTGTAGAGGGTAAGAAGTCATAATGGCGCCTTAACCAGCCCAAAGAAGGCTTGCACCAATGCCAAGAAGACCACCAGCTGCAATTGGAAAAGCCTGTTGTTGATGATGGTTGTAGTAAAGGAAAGAGCCAGCGTAAAGGATATAAGTGCTGCAGCCAGCAGCAAGAGTGAGACGGGGTCCAAGGACGTTGTAAATGCCACCCCCCAGGATGCCGAATACAGCGAAAGTTGTGTACAGTGCGGTGTTGGCGTTGTTGGCTGCGGTTGGATCGAGTTGGCCTCCTCCTCCCATGCCAACCAGGGCGTTGAACATTCCAGGGCAGCAGAAACATACCAGGCCTATCAGGGTTACTTGGACAAGTGGGGAGTTGTATCTGAATCTTGATTTTGTGGACAATTGGGTGCCTGATTCTTCATCCCCAGCCCCAACTTCGATACCCATTTTTACTTATTGGTCAAAGGATTCAAAAATGCAAGAGGGACAATGAGATATTAGGCAATTTTGGGGCCAGGATTCAGGATTGAACTAGGTACTAGCATAGTCTAGAATTATCATTACTAAAAAAAAAAAAATAGTAAAAGGCAATTTTATTAATCTTGTGTTTTTTTTTTTTTTTGGATATTAAAATATGATACAATCATTATTCCTTAGTCATCGTGATTTAACGACATTAAGAAACAAAGAAAGTAAAATGAAATATATGTTGTTTGCATGTATGATGACATTTTGATGGGCACAGCATACAAGAACTATACATTATTAAGTCCAAAGATTAATTTCACATGCTCTTGTTAAGCATATGGTCGATAGATGCATGTGTTTTGGTTAGAGAATTAGTGGGAATTTAAAAAAAAAAAAAAAGGAAATATAAGTTTAAGGGAAGCTGAAACAGAAAGCAAAGATTTTATATTTCATTTTTCAAATTTTCTACTTGGCAGCATTCGACTAATCGGATTCTACTCCTATTCGATAGTCATTTATTAATATCAGAATACTCAACATTAATTAATGTTCGCCGACTCTACACGTTAATAACACAGATAGATTATTAAGTCAGAAGGTAACTCCATAACTATCACGTGACAGTCGGTAGCCTCATTCAAAAGCAAATTTTTTAATCTAGATCAAGATGTCACCAATTGCAAAAATCAATTGAATTCAAGAATAATTTAAATATAATTAATAATTAGTTTTAAGCCTGTGTTATGTATGGATAAGCAAATTATTTTAATTTTAATTTAAATAAAATATTTGAGAGGAGATTAAGGGAAAAGAAGCTCATAAATATGATGTTAAGAAAATGACTGAAATATATGATATTAATTTTTGGATTTTACTCTTTTCATTGAAAATGTAGTATGTATGCTTATCTCTGTATTGATTTCAATTATTGCTGTTTTCTATTACCCATGCTTTGAAACAAAATCTCTTAATTTTTCATTGAAAAAAGAAAAAATATATATATATATGTATATAATATTCATGAGATTTGATGGTCTGATCCTTTTCTTGCTTATGCCTTGAAGAACGAATTATAACAAAAAAATTCAAAAATATTGTTAATATAGAAGAACAATCAAGATTAATATAAAAAGGAATTACCAAATCAGTGCATAACAATGGAATATGAAATTTGTGAAGTTAAGTAATTCAATTCACAACTATATATAAAAGAGTTGAGAATAAACAAAAAGTTAAACATATCCTAATTAGTTGATAAAATCTCACCTTACGTGCAAATGTATAATTTTTGTAATATCATGAAACACACTTGAACATATATAGTGAGACTTTGCTAACTCATGGCCATAAAAGTATAAATTAGGTTAAAAAAGTTGGTATGGGAAAATGTTGAAATTGAATATATATTTCTTAATTGATCAATTAATTACTAATTAATCAATTTTAATCCAATTAACATGAATTAATTACATTGGGTTGGACCTAATTGAACTTTTGTGGCTAAAATCCTTAGCCCATATTCTATAAATTATTTTTGGACGCAACACCTATATATATATATATATATATATATATATATCTTGGTCATTGCGGTTAGAATCAACAAATTTTTGACGCTATGGTGAAATAAATTTTAGAAAATTTCAAAGAAATGATATAGCAATAGATCCCTTATGTATCGATTACATATCCAGTGCAGACAATTATTAACATATAAATATATATATGTGTGTAGGCGCGCACACGTGTGTTATAATTTCTTTATTCTTCAGTTTCGTTGATGCTTGCAAGACTTGGTTGCCATTGGTCAAACTCTGCATGTCTTTTTGGAGACCCTTTTGGATGGCCCTTAGTTCTCTTCCTGGTATGTCGATACCTTGTCTGATTATCAGGTGATATCAAGTTGCTAGATGATCTTGTTTTCTCTCCAGAATCATCACCACCAGGCTTATCATCGCATGTCTTGGCACACGTTATCATGCATGTGAAGCAATTTTTTTCAGAGAAACATGACCCATCTTTCTCTATATCCATATCCTCGGGAACACCTTTTCCTCCATTAGAATCTGTACTGTTTGCATCCGCGCCTTCATCATCCAAATGATCGTTTATGCAGGAATATGGAGTTTTATTCTTGTTCATAAAGAACCAACAAGTACTGGAATTATCACTATCAGGATCTTGTTCCTCGCTTTTCTGGGTTTGGCGGACTGGGGAAGGAGAATACTTGTTGGAGTGCCGTTGAAGCTTCCTGATAGTGCTTACAGGCACAACATAAAATTTTTGGCCAGGCATTAGCACGGTCTCTGGTGCAACAATAGCCCATGGTTGTTGGAAAACATGTGGATGAGCCACAACACATCTTGGGTTCCGACAGATTATCTCAGATGCAAGGATAGGCCTGTCATGGAGCTCGGCATGACCTCCAGGATGAACAATCTTGACAAACATGTTCCTGGTGCTCCTAGTGCAAATCCATTTTGAAAATGCCATATTTTGGAAAAGCTGCAGAAGGAGAAGAGAATGATTATAATTCTAGTGGAGAAGTATTTTAAGGCATGGCTGCTTTTTCGGGATGGTTGAGAATATCCATCAAATTAATATAAACAGCTTTGTATTATTCTTCATTCTTTGCTTCTTGTTTTACTTGATTCATTGATAATATCGTGGCAATGATGTTACATTCAAAGCATCTTGCAATTTTAGTTTGGCCAAGACGCAAATATCTGCCTCGTTTAACGATGACAAAAATGTCATGCCAATAAAGTCTAGCTGGTAATGAGTAGTTCTGTTTTAATTAATTTTGTTTTCTCTTACTTTTTGTCTGCAAAAGCTGAAAGTCTTAAATTTTTTGTAGCCAAGAAGAAGGGCAGGGGTTGAGATCATGAAGCAATGATATTTCATTGAAGGCATCGTGCCCAATCAGGATATACGAATTGTAATCTTAATTTGCAAATACGTAGAGCATTTAAAATACCCTTGGCAATTTCTTTCAGTCATGGAGAGATGTGAAAGAAGAAATAACACAAAAAATTAAGAAGGTGAAAATCAGAAAAAAGTGTTTATTCAGTTGCAGATTCACCTGTGTAACAAGCTTAAACTCTTTGTTTAACTTTTAGATAGAAATGATTAAATGTAAATATATATATAAGGACAGAGTTATACAAGATGCAATGAGACTTGAACTACAATTGATATAAAAAAATTTAAAACGTTTTTGTTGATCAAATTTATTTGTTGTTGAGACTAATGTTAATTTTATAGAGAGTATTTTCAGTAACACATAAATATTGTAAAAACTCGTCTACATAATCTAATGAAAGGTTAATAGTTAAAAAATAACTTAATTGCGTATATTGAAAAGAATTTTATATTAAAAAATATTGATAACAAATCTATTGTATAACATTTTCAAAATAAAAATCGCATCAAAGACAATTGTAAAATTTTAAAAATTGGATATAAAAGTTTTAGGTTTTTTAATATTATTAAACTATTATTCTTGTAATCGTTTTTTATAATATAGTATCTTCAAACTAAGCTCACTAAGTAAATTTTTTGACCCCACCACTACATATATTCATAGATGGATATCGATATGCACAAAAAATACTCTACATATATTAATGTTTTTGTCTGCAGTGTAATCAACAATGGCTGAACCTGAAATCATTCATCAGGCCAATATCGACCATCGAAAACTTCAAGCAACTTGGCATTGCTTTATTAGACAATCTAGACCGTATGAAGTTTACTGCTTGACCCATATAGAATTAAGCCATAAGGAAGGTAAACACAAGGGTCAGATTCTAGCTTTAGCACAACCCCATTGGTTTTATACTTTTGCTTTCATTTTCTCCCCTTCTTTGCGCCAAGGGGATCGATGAAGTGATTCTATAGAAGAAAATGTCATTTTTTTTTATTTTAACAGTGATTAAATGTCATATACAAAGCAGATAGGAGTGATTAGAGATAACAATCGGATAAAGTTGAAACGGATTCAAATTAACATCATTTGGGATTTCGATTTTAACGAGTTCATTCATTTTTGACCAATTTAAATTTTATATGAAATGTAACATTTTCAAGTCAACATAAATTTCAAATTCTAATTGTTTTGATCTTTTATTAATGAGATATATGCAGAGAATGCTTTGTTGTGTTCATGCACTTGGGCAAAATAAGTGCACATGTTCTTGCAATTAGAGGAGATAATGCAACCAAGAGAACAATAACGGAGGCAGATGTAGGGACTCGTTAGTCATTATTGAGTTTCAAAGCCAGACCATGGTCCCATAAACATACAACCTATTTTATTAGATATTAATGGCACAACACCAAAAGGAGCGTTCACTCTTCATCTGAAATTGGATTTGAATCTTTTGTCTGAAAAAATAATGGATGGATCATGAATTCTTTACCTGTCTTTGCTGACCTGAAAGTAAAAATAAGGGAACCCTTGAAGAATCAAATGAAAATTTGGCCACAAAAAAATAAGTATCAAATCAGATAGACAGAGTTTACCAACTATTAGGGTATTAAATTCATGACTCATGTAATGAGACTCGATGAACTTTAGCAATAAAAGGATGAACCAGACAACATCAACCTCAAGCCTTCATGCATACAGTTAAAGCATGCTTCAAGCTAGATGCTTTTAGTTATCAGCTTCATCACAGTAATGATAGTATAACTTTACTAAACAAAGATTATTGTCGTCCTTGACATGTCTATAAGTACAAAGTTGTAAGAGGATAATGCTTGCAATTTGCATCAGCTTCGATTGATAGTAATAAGATTTAATTAATTTAGATATTACATCGAGAATTTCATGTTCTAATCTCTTTTTTTTTCCCCTCTCATGAGTACAATGATCACAATACTACAGATCAGGGAGGATAACCTTCTTAGTGAAGTCAGAAGTGGCTCTATGATAGGAGTTGCGTTAAAGCACCACCAATGCATAATTGAATTGCTGCAGTTCCCCAGAGGAAAAGTTCATGTGGAAATGAATGAGCAGCACATAAGAGACGAGGCTATCAATGCAATCTTGTAGCAAAGAAGATCAGATGCAAGTGAATGTGAGGACATCACCATCCAAGTTCCGATTTGTATAACCAGTGCAAAAGAGGGGCAAGAGAAGAGGGACGGACTATGTAACTCTTAATGAACCTCCAAGTTCCATAGGTACAAGAGGGATGAGGGAGTGCAGGACATCAGTTATAAGTGGCCTATAACTTGGTTCAGGTTGTATGCACAGCACAGCAACAGCAGCAACCTATATACAATTCAAATTTAAAACCATTAACAAGGGCTAACGACGATACAAATAAAATATTTTTTTATGTACCTGATATAGGTGCTTTAAATCCATTGTGTCTTTTATTATTGGATCCACTATGTTTGGAAGCTTCGATCTGTCAGTAAGCTGGGGCATAGCCTGTCAAAATTGCATATAAACTAAGTTCAAGATACAATTAAACGATAACTGGACCTCCTTGAGGTAAATACTAGGGTCGAAAGAGCTTACCCATGTGACAAGAGATTGGCACTGAGTTGATGACATTTTCTCCAGTGGTTTCTTTCCAATTAGCAGCTCCAAAAGGACGACTCCAAAAGCATATACATCACTTTTATCAGTCAATTTTCCTGAGAAAAGCAATGCTGTCACTGCTCAAATCAAAACTGAGACTAAACTTGGTGCTAAGAAATCTCTTAAGACAATTATCACTTGGTTGAGGCAGGGGAGGGGGAACAATTATATTTAACTGAGAGGTTTTCCCAGCAGGTAGGAACATAATGTCTCTTTCATCGCTCGGGAGATCTGCATTTGCTCAAGCTCTTCATGAATCCCATTCAATGTCACTGACACTTGACTATAAGAATACCACCCTGATTGGCAAGTTGCAGTTACATGAATTTAGTTTTAGCATACACTTGCTAAAAAAGTGTTCTTCTGCAACAACATTCCAGCGAAGACAGATATGCTATGAAAATCAGACAGCCAACTCTATGGTTTATTCCTTTTTTTCTTTTCTGGTAAGTAACTCTATGGTTTATTCAAATGATACGTTCCATTTTTCTGATAAGTAACTCTATGGGTTATTCAAATGATATGTTCCATTTAATATTACTCCAGAAAGATGAAGAGGCCACAGGTAAAGTCAGGCAACTAGCCAACAACATAAAATAAAATCATAGGGTACAATGGCAAAGACTTTGGTGTCTTGAGGAAAGTACCAGAAGAAAAATATTCAAGAAGCTAAAAGAGAAATATACATCCTCATTTAAGAATGTTATTTTGTGAAAAGATGAATAACACAAGATAATGCATTGGATCTCATTCTGACTTTCTTATGTATTAAGTATAAAGAACTTTGGCTTACCCTCTAAGAGGTACTCTGGAGCTACGTAGCCTAATGTTCCTGACAACTTTATGTTTTTGTTTTGGGATCCAGTAGCCACAGCAAGGCCAAAGTCTGACAGCTGAATCAAGGAAAGATTGTTAAGGGAACCATTTTACATTTCGACAAAGCTACATAAAGACAAGAGAGTTCATTAACCATAGTGTCATACATAATGTTACCTTTGCATTGAACTTGGAATCCAGAAGAATGTTAGATGACTTTATATCTCGATGGACAACAGGTGGATTGCAGTGCTCATGAAGATATTCTAATGCTCTATCAGAGATCAATGACAACATTTAGAAACATGTTAACAACAAATGAGCAATAAAACAGATGAAGAGATTAGAACATAATTAGCTATGGAATTCACCTTGCAATATCAATTGCAATTTTCATTCGTAAATTCCAGGTTAAAGCTGATCCTTGAGTAGGTCCTATAATGTCCAAAATGAAATCAATAAATTAGATCAAAAGAGAAATTTTAGCATCTTCCTCTGACTTTCACTATTCTTTGTTACTGTGGAATGAAGAAAAAGAGTTTATACCATGCAATTGGCTCTCCAAAGAACCATTTTGCATCATTTCATATACAAGAAATCTTGTTTCACCATGGATACAGTAACCCAATAGCGAAACTATATTCTGATGCTGGATTTTGACCAACCACTCCATCTCATTCTGCACATGGAATGAATATTAAGCAAAGAAACCCAAGGAAGATATAAACCCGAAAGACTAGATATCCAAATCAATTTCAGTCATGCACAAAATATTACCTCAAATTCTCTTTCAGTATCTTGTCCTCCACCATCTAATTTTTTCACAGCAGCAAGAAATTTCTCATCAAAACGAGCTTTGTAGACACGTCCACGACCACCTTCACCCAAGACATTACTTTCCCGGAAATTGTTTGTTGCAGCTTCCAATAACTGATACTCAATAACAACAGCTACTGAACCCTTTTTGCCAGCCATCCATAAGGAATTAAACCGATCCACAATTGGACTCAATGAAATTGCTTTTGTAGGTTCTTCAGATTGCATATTAAAAGCAAAAATAAACAACAAATTTCAAATCAGCAGACAAAAAGCAAAACCAAGCATACTTTTTGTTCTCCAAAAGAAAACTGGAAACCAAAACAAAGGTGATTCAGTGAGACAAAAAGATACCCAGGTTGTGTTTGCTTTTCCCATTGGAATTCTTCAAGATTTTCTGTCTACGGATCCAGAAACATAACAAAAGGAGCAATATTCCACCAAGGAGAGTGGAGGCAACAATCAAAGCTATAAGAATTCTCTTGTTTAAATCCTGGTGCTGCACTACTCTAACCACAGCAACTCCTGCTTCATCATTAACATGGTTAAGGTTATAGTTATATACTGACTTATAAAACAAGTTTTTTGTTTGCAGAGGAAACTATGTTAATTTAAAAAAAAAAAAAACACAGAAATTGAGCACAAAAATCTTGATTTGACAAACAGCTCTCATTTTGATCTAAAAATCGGAAGCCGCTGTTAGAAAATTAAGGGAAAACTCAAACATTTTTATTATTTTAGTTTATTGAAGAAAACGAAATTTTCTAAGCCAAACAAGTTAAATTTGGCCACTTTAATGGAGCTAGCAATTATCCTTAACATCCCAAGTACTGAAATGGTCATATTCCTATGAAAACAGTGCACAAAATGTGCCAAATTGCAAAGTACCCGGAAACAAGAGAAAAGCATAATAATACTAGAGTGATGCTAAAATACAGAACATTTGAGCAACTAAAGCAAGGAAACAAAACAAACCCATTTAAGAGAAATGAAGAACAGATTCAGAACCACCAAAGGCCCAAAAAAATGTAGAGTTGAAATACCTGGAGAAACAGCTTCCATTTCTGAAGAAAACTGAGAAATGGGGTTTTGTTTAGAAAGAAAAACGGAAGCAGAAATAGGGTAAACAGTTGACTCTGGTCTGGCAAGAAATGTAATTGACAACAAAGAGAAGGTACATGCCCACATGGGAAGTAACAGAAAGAGAAGATTCATATCTCCTAAGATAAAAGACAAGGAGAGAGTTTTTTAAGATGCAGGGACTAAATCTAATACAAGTGAAACTTCATTTCCTGTTCAAAGATCTTGCTGTTTCACTTTTGAATCTATCTGTAAACTCAACTTTACAAATAAAAAAAAATGTAAGCTGATGGAGACAAAGTGCTATTGTACAGTATGTTGCAATGAAACCAAGAAAAAGAAAGGAGAGCCTTTTTTTTTTTTAAATTTTATCGATTTTAATCTGTTTATTTTTGTGCGTGGGGAGAAATGGACATGGTGGATCATGTGTGGCAGTTAGGAAAAGAGAAAGTTCATTAAGTTTTATGGGTTTGCTTTTGAGTTAAAAGACAGTTGGGGATGTGGACAGTGGCAGGAAGGAAGGAAAGGACATTGGCTGATACGTTGCCCATTTTTCAGCTACATTCCTGGAAACTGCTTTTAGTATTTTTGCCTTGGCTTGCCTACAAAACATTTCACTTGTTATTGTTAAGACTAGTAAATAGGTACCTAGCTTCTGTAGGATTGCATGATTACAAAACGAATTAGTATTTTCTTTGTCTTTATTTTACTTGATCTAAATGACTTACATCAATGACTCTGTAGATATTGATTAAAAAATTTTATTTTATATATTATTTTTGTAAATTTTAATTTTATAAATAAAATTAAGAGATTAACATATATTATATTTTTTAATATATTTAAAGGTATATATCATCCTTTTATTTATTCTTTTAAAATTTATCTTCTTTATTAATTTTTTATATATTTCATTCACTTAATAGGTATGCATATGTTAGTTGTGCTGGTGTCACTTAACATGTGACACCAAAGTTAATAAAACTAGTTATTAATAGTAATTTGATTCTATTTTTAATCTAGATAAATATTAGATAGTTTATAAAATGTCAAAAAAAAATTGAATTTGAAAAGTGATTAAAAAGTTAAGACTATTAAAAAAAGATTTAAAGACAAAGAAAACAAGGACAGTTTTTCTTTTTCCTAGAAGAAAGTTTTAAAACGCATCCATAATAAGAAGGATTCAATTTTGTTTTTCTAATGAATCTATTTTCACAAAATAAACTTTAATAGCTAGTGGTGAATGCATAGATAGACATCTAAATAAATATATATCCACAAATAAATTTGGAATAAGAATATAAATATACAAATAAATATGCACATAAATAATCATACAAATAGATAAATAGATAAACAAACAAATAGATATATCAATAAATAAATAGATAAATGAAATAAGCTAATATATCATTAATTTACTTCGAATAGTTTTACCAAATAAATATGTTATGTGTGTCATATCTCTATCTAAAAAATGTTCAGATATTTTTATTAAATCATTATATTATATCACAAAAAAAATTATACTTGAATGCAAAAAGTAAAATATTACTCCTTTAGTCCCAAACAGTAATAATTTTCCATAATGTTTTTTGAATTGTTTTTGTATTAAAAATTATTAAACATCAATATTACTTTAAATTATAAAATGAGATAATTTTCTCTAATTTATTTTATTGAGGTTGATTAAAAAGAAGTATTTGGTGCTAGAAGAGAATAAAAACTATCGTTATTGCTCAACTGATCAATTTAAAATCATTTAGAGGTAGTGGTTCTTCCACATTAGGTCGTAATTGAATTGGCAATTCAATGTTTCACCAAAATTTCAGAGGACCCTATATTTAAAGCTCAATGGATTCCTACATTTCTCCTTATTAATAATTAATTTCTGGTTAGGGGTGTGTTTGTCAATATTCATAAGGGGATGATGGAATAATGGATAAGATCTTTTCATCCAAAGTATATATGTGGCGTTTTGGATTGAGAAAAAGTGGAGAGAATTGGCAAGGAGAGATAACTAAAATGGAGAAATTTTGTATTTTGGTAGTAAATTTAGGGCTTAAGAATAATAATAAAAAAACCTTTAAACAAAAATTAAATAATTATTTAAACCCTTATTATTTTATTATAATTAATCTCAAATATTTATTTTTATTTAATTGAGTTCTTAAATATCTATTTGTACCTAATCAAACTCTTAACATTTATTTTTACTTAATTGAACTCTCAATTAGATGGAATTGAACCTTCAAATATTTATTTGTATTTAATTGAATCTTTAAACATCTATTTTCATCCAATTAAACTCTTAAACATTTATTTTTACCTAATTGAGCCCTTGTTAGATGGAAAAGAGTGTTGATAGTTAACCAATTTTCGTCTAATAATGACTTAATTAAGGAAAATAGATATTTAACAACTTAATTAATTGTAATAAAATGATAAAGACTTAGATAATTATTTAATTTTAGTTTAGGAATTTTTTTTATACTTATGCCTAAATTTAGCAAAAAAGTTGTATGAAGAAAAGTCAAATCCTCATTTACATTTTCTAAAAGGACGCTTATGGCAATTGGGAGGTATGAGAAAGAAATTTTAAAGAAAATTATATTTTTTATATTAAAAATTGTTAGCGGTTGAATCATAATTATGGAAAGTCTAAATTAAGAGATTAAAAAAAATTAAATTAAGAGTTAAATATTTTATCGATATATCACCCTACTGTTAGCAAATAAGTAATATTATTTTTTTCTTTAAATTAAATGAAAGAAATTAAATTTGAGGTCTAATTTCCCTCAATTCTTTCATTTCTATTATATTCTTTTCATTTTTTCTCATGCTGTTCAGCCAAAGACACTGGTAAGTTTATACCCTTAAGATTTTCTCATCAATAGATTTTTGGGATCCATCGTTTCCCATTAGCTAGAATATAAAGCTTTATGTATGAAATTTTCAAACAAAATGATGGAAGAAAATAAAAATATGATGGAATAGAATGAATAAAAATGTACAACTCATTGTTTTATTGGTTAAAATAAAACTATATAGTAGGTTATTTGGTTTATATATATATATATATTAATTTTGTAATTTCCTTTTATTTTTTTGTTTTTTTACTTTTTAAAAATTAGCTATGAGTTATACCAAACGTTTTGGTTTTTGTGCTAGAGAGAGAGAGAGAGAGAGAGAGAGAGAGAGAGAGAGAGAAGCAATAAATGAATCAAAGAAATGGATTTTTTTTTCATATTTATAATTTTTTTCATAATTAATTTCCTTCAATTATTCTCATACTTTTGGATAACAATTACGTTTATTATTGTTATTATTATTGGTATTATTATATATATATATATTTATTTATTTATTTATCTTTCTAAACCTGTTAATTCGTTTTCTTTGTATTTGTTAAGATGCACATGCAACTGATCAATGTCATCGCCAGCAAATTTAAAGTGGTTATGGCAAAAGCACGTACATCAAGCCAATCTTCACACTTTGATAGTGACAATACAATCAAATTTAAACCTAAAACAACTACCTCAACACCAACACCCCCAACACAAAAGACAATGGGAAATATCTTTAAAGCAACTCTCAACACTTTTTCACCAAAACAAAACAAAAGAAAATATTATGAAGATAATTTAAGCTTCTCTACTTTTTTCTAAACACGTCCATGGGATGGGTTGGATCGATCAGGCATGGTTGATAATTAATGAAAAGTTTTAATTTTAAATATATCTTAAATGGTATGGTTATCCAACCAACCTCTCTTCTAAAATTTAAAAATTTTACTAACAATAAATGAAATAATTTCTCATAAATAAATTCATAGGAGGGAAAATAGTTTATGAAACAGGTGCATAAGCAGTGTGTAGTCATTACCATTGGCTTGAGAAAGTGACATAAACTAAAGCCAAAATTAGCACCCATTTCCTCATCTCAAGGTCATTGACTATAAGTAAATATATTGTGTTTGAACCATACATCATTACTCTTCGATCGGCTGGGAATTTAATACCCTTTTAAATTTCTTCGCAGGAAAGCAATTGCAACCTCAATTAATGCTGGAAATTAAATATTGGCCTCCCCTTAGTTAATGTCATGTGAAGCGGCGTTAATAAATAATAATTTTTATATTATAAAATCTTCTTGACACTGAATTTTCACTTACCAATTTACATATAACAAAAGTTAAAATGTATAAAATGATTAAAAACCAACATAAATTAATCAATTAAATCCATTAGTAGTTTAAAAAAAAAAAACAGTCTTAAATTGATTGAAAAATTAACATTTGGTAAAACTAGTTTTTTTAAATAAAAAAACGACTTGATCAATTAAACCATCTAATAATAATAAATTTTTAAAATGATTATATATTCGTGATTTATTTTATTATTTTTGAGTGCACTTAAATGATAAAATTAAAATTTTTGTTGATGTCTTCAAACTCCGAACATTGTTTTTCCTTATCGTTGTTTGTTAAATTAAATCAAGTTCTCCTTTCAATTGAGGATTCCATTAAAATTTGATTTCAGTTGGACTCCATGATTAGAGATCGAAAGCTATGCGGAAAGAAGCAGGAAAAAATGGTAAAGAACATGAAAATTAAAGGAAAAAAATTTGAAAGAATTGCTCAGGGAAGAAAATGGCATTTTTTTTGTCAGAAAATATTCAGCTGATGTGACTATGGGTAACGGATTTTGACATTTGGAAACAAGAGAGCAACCTGTCAGACTAAACTCTATGATTATCAATCTGATATGGGTATCTTGTCTTTTCTTTACTACTATTTATATTATTTCGCTTTCTACGCCTTTTGCTTTTCCGCATGTTGATGCAAAAATACTTATATTTTAGCTTATATTCGAGATTGAATTAATTCCAACCCGTTATCAATTTTTTTTTGTCAGAGCCGCTTAACATTGTTAAAAAGTGTTGTTTTTATTATTAGAAAAAAAGTATGCATGAATTATTATGTTAAATGTTATTTTTAATTGAAAGAATTAAATTTTTTATAAAAATATTATAATTTGAGATATAAATTTTAAATTTATTAGATGTTATATTTTATGAGTAAGTATATCAATTAATTGAATTATAAAAAAGTAAATTTGGATTAAATGCACAATCTTGAATGCAAAGGAGATACCATGAGAA